AACACCAGCATTTCTTTTTCCATCTCTGTGAAATTTCCTCAATAAAATTAAGTTCTCAGACATGACCAGGGAGAGGAGCAGAAAGGCCCTCCTTTGACTCAGAGCTAGAAGTCCCAAGGGATGAGAGGAGGCAGCACAGTGCCTGGCCCTGCCCGTGTCTGCCTTCTCTGCCCCACTCCTTGGCAGACTCTGGGTCAGGACACCAAGGATTTAGGAGAACCTTTGAGGTCTGCAGCAGGAGTCCGTGGCAGAGACCATCCCGGTCCTACAGCTGTGTGGATGCACGTAGAGGGAGAAGCAGTCATCGCCTTTAAGGCAACCCCTTCTCCTAAAAATGCTGCCTGGTAGGCCTCTCTCTAGTTGTCCACCCTGTCTTCACTTCCAAGAAAGCCCTGGTGCTTTCCCACACAGCCAGGTAGGCTGATTTGGGTAAGGCCCATGAAAATGAGACCGTTTATCTCCCCAGCGCATCTCTGACACTCGCCAGAGAGCTGCCCATAAACAGCAGCCGGTGGTAAAGTACTCTGCTCCTACTGCAGGTGTTTTGCTTTAAAATCCTGTTTAATAATTATCAGAGTGGCTAAGGCAAACAGCACAATCTAAGTGATAAAACACCATTAAACATTTCCCTGCCCTTCCACTCACTTGCTGTACTCCTGAACTTCCCATTGCTTACTCCAGGTGAAGCACGCTGCTTCAAAGAAATCAGCAGGACGACTTATTGGACTGCGAGGCTCAACTTCTCACCGACATTTCCTACTCCTGCTTATATACAGCAGGAGGAAGTGCCTCACTCACTTTAACACGACAATCTGGATTAGATACTGACTCTATCTGCATCATTCCCAAACCCTACTGCTGCAGAACAAGATGTGGCTTTAGCCCTGGCTCTCTTGAGAGCACCCATCACTTTTGCGTGGAAATACAGCGATGTTTGCCCTCTTTGTAACCCTCTGGGGATGGATGGGGATAAAAGGAGCATCAGGTGGCATCTACAGAGCTGTGGCAGGAACACTTGGTTCAGAGATGCCATCTCCAGACATTCCTACATCACTTCTAGAGCAGACATTCAGTTTTCCAAACCCCTGCTCCAGCAGTGTCCGAATAGACCCCAACCTCTAGTATGGTAAAAGCCAAAGGCCTGCTCACCCTCCCACCCAAATGACCTGAGTGTACCTAGGGACACCCACACCCACAGCAATTAAAAGAACATGGGGTGGTATGGCAAACATCAGAAAATGCCCAAGCCTTCGCTTTGTCACAGGACGCCTCCCATTGTGCGTGCGAGATGCAATCACGCACTCCCTTCCCCCGGCCCGGCCTCACTGAGTACACAGGACACGAGATGCTCCTCGCAGCGGGAGAGCACGGCAAGTCCCTCAACCTCCCTTCCTGCTCTTTTCTCCAGCACTGCTTCCCTATGGCCTCATGCTGTGCTCCAAAATGGTGGCATTGCCCTCCCCGAGCCCAGGATGGAGCAAGCCACATCTCTTAAGGACAGCTGGGTGCACTACAGGGCAGCCAGAGGGACGGCTGCTTGCAGGACAAGGGGCTTGGCCCACCCCTGGGTGACACCACAGCTCTCACAGGCAGCAGCTCCTCTCCCAACAGCTCTGCTCACGGTGTCCTTTCCCAAAATCACGGGCTCTGAGGTCCTGTTCAGCCTCTTCTTCCTCCCCATGGCACCTGGGGCACAGGGGCTGCAAGCACCCTGCAGCCTCCACTGCGCATCCACAGGAGCCACGCTCCAGGGGTGAGCTCTAGGAGGAAGAGCTCCTGGTGGGGGCTGCCTGTCCCTCATCTGAAACGGCATCTGGATTATTTATTAACATGGTCATTGTTGGGGCTACAATGAAATATTAATAGCAGCCTAGGGAGTGGCACGTAATGCTGAGTGGCAGAACTTGGCTGCGCTCCGGATGGTGTTTTCCTTTTGCTGATCCTTCTGTAACGGTGTCCCTTTCGCTCTGCCCTGTTTGATATTTCAGACCTCATGGGAAAATGATCAATTGCCACTCCCCACACTGCAAAAGCTGGGGATGAACCCCGCAGTCCTGTGGTCATTTTGTTTCAAGCCCAGAGAAGAGGCTAAGATGTTTTCTCCTCGCCATGAGGCAGGATGGGAAAACATTCCCAAGGAACAACTAATTAAAAGGAAGAGCTGCTGCTTAACAGCTTTGCTTTGACACCGGGCAGTCTCAAACTTCATTTTGCTGCCCTGCTAGACAGAGCCACAGGGTCACAGCAGCTGAAGCACAACACAGCACGAGTGCAGCACAAGCATCTGAGATGTGGACTCCTTGCACAGGCTCCCCGTTCCCCCTGCCCTGCTGTACAGCCTGATTAAGGACCTTCCATGGGATGGGAAGGCAGACAGGGGGCTTCCCGCTCAGTCCCTAAATACCACACAGCACATTTCTGATCTTGCCATCATTATGCTGCCATTTACGTTTCTGTTTTCAACTCCAAATTGCCTCCCTGGACTCCCCCCCCATCACCTGAGCAGTTCTTCAAACAGTTCCATCACTCGGTAACTAAGTTACAGCACAGAGGTGCTTAATATTTAATGATGCCAGTTAATTCTCTATACACTTCTCCCCAACCCATGAATTTGGAGGCTGATTCCTGAAGACTTCCCTACATGGAGCTCACATTCTCCTGCAAAGACCAAGACCCCTCAAGCAGCTGAGAGGAGGGAAGGCACACACCATAACTTCTTGGGACACTGGCAACTGCAATCCCAGCTTGGATAGAACCAGCCCCCTTCCCCCAAGCCATTTCCATCGCTGCAGATCTGCTGTGATTTAAACTTGACGGATCAGAGTGGAGGACCTGAGGCCATCCCCAACACACAATGCAGCAATAAAAACAAGTGGCCCAGGTAATGTGGGACTTGGTCAGCATTATATTGCACTGCAGTAAAAGATCAGGAATTTGGGCTAGTTCTTTTTGTCCCAGCTACCTGATTTCTGGTTAAGAGTAGCAAATTGCCATGCTGTATAGATAACATCCATTTGTTTGCTTGTTTTTTGTCATCAGTGTCAACAGCTCATTACATTTCTGAGAAAGACACGACACGAAATTTTTGAGTCTCCATGATGCCCTGACCATACCAAAGGCTTTGTGGGTCGGAAGCAGCAGCTGTCACCCAGTATGATTTACAGAACATTAGCAGAGAGGCACGGTGCATCACACCAGTGAATTACAACATGGCAGGAGCATCCAGCTAAGGTGCAAAGCCTCCCCGGCCAGAGCCCACTGAATAAAAAACAACTGGTGCCACATCTGGAGTGAAAATGGTGGGGGTGTGACACTGCCAGCAGCGTGGCATCCCCCTCAGCTGCTCTACTGAGCACTTGTGTGACACTGGAGTGAGCCTTCAGCCACCCGCTCCCCAAAGCTCTACCTTTAAGGGCAAAGAAAGCAGTGCTGGGGCTCCTCCGCCAGACAGGAAGGTTGGCAGGAACATCCCTCATCTCCTTCTAGCCCTTCTTAGGAGCTCATCCACAAAGTTTGGGCAAAGATGGATGAAGACAGGAGCCAGCACAGAACCATCCTCCTACAAAGTGGCCACAGTTTGAAAGAAAGCAGTCAAGGTGTTTTCTGGAGCTGTAAAAATTACCGTACAGCAGAGCCAGTAGGAAGAGAGAGATACTTTACCTTCAGCCTGTAGTAACATGAAGCCAAGGTTAACTATTAGGCAAGCTTCATTAAACTTTTCTAAATGGTGCTGTTTGCTATCATTATTCAGCCACATAATTTCCTTGTAAAGCAAGGGAATTATTACCCTGGATATCACTTTTTAAATTATGCACATTTAGTTATTCTTAATGGCCATGCCTCCTAATTACTCTACTACTGAGGACATTGCTCGTGTGATGGAGAATTACACACGGTACCATCGCTTCTGCCCCGGGCTGACAGATTGATCTTACGGCCCCTAAAACAGCCATGGGAACTTGTACAATCAGTGTTCCCTGACTGGTTTTACAGGCATTCCTCTGCCAGCACGTAGCTTTCACGGTATACCTACAGTTTCAGGAATCTTCAGAACAACTGGGTTAGCGTTCATTTAAGCACATTTCACAACTTTACCCTTTGTAGCAACAACAGTGCTGCCTCTCCTGATCTGCGAGAGGCAGCAGGAAGCTGCAGCCCTGATGACTGATGCATAGCGAGCACTCCTTTTGTCCACAAGACCTTTACAACAAGGGATTATGATGATGAAAATACCAAATAACTGTTGGTCGGTAAAACAAGGTGGCTGCTCTCTCCAGAAAGAAAGGGGAGAGCTAAATCCCATTCCTGCAGAACTCATAAAAGCCTCCCCCTCCTCCAAAAATAAATAAAAAAAAAGCTTCCAGAGGGCTTCAGTGACTATGGTCTCAAGGTATCACACAGGTTGTCTGCTACAATTTCAGCTGCCCACAATCAGATGCAGAAAGGCAGGTCCAGAAAGCTGAGGATTATATCTGTAGTTCTGTTCTGACCCTGAGCTGAGACAGCATCATGGAATACCCATAAAATGACTGCTTGCACCACAAGGAGTCAAAAACAGCTAGAATTTGCCAAGATGAAAAGCATTCTCCATAAAACTCCACAAGAGTGGCAACACTGGGACACTGGCTTGATAACCAGTACATCCCCCAGGCACCTGTGGGAAGCAGATGAGAAAAAAACAACAAAGTAAACCCTGAAGCTGGACCATGGTACTCCAGCTCCCTCCTGTGCAACACCAAGCCCTCAGCCACTGTGTTGTGGGAGCAGTCTGTAAGCCAGCCCTGCTGGACAAGAAGGAGCTGCTTTTATTTCCCCAGCTCCCCATACGAAGTCTGAACAACGTACCCTTCTCTTTGGATCCCAAGGGTTGCTTTGAAAACATCTGCACTGCTCATGGTGCCACCTCCTCAGCCAGAGAAAGGTCTGCTAGCCACAGGGAGAAGTGAGACTGAAGCACAGCAAATGAATAAATAAATAAGCAAAACAGCACTAAAGCCAGGTTATTAAAAATCATAAATGAATCCGATGTTTAATTAGAGAAAAAACAAAGCCTTTGGTGGTTGTTAGGGATGTACACTTTGCCAAGTCATCTCCTTGCTAGAAAGCTGCTTTATTTAATGTGGTACAATTGCAAATTTCACATCAGCTTTTCAGTTTAATGAAACAGGAATGTCTTGGGAAAAGGCAGACAAATCAACAAATTCTGAGAGCCCAGACTGCTAGACTGCTGCAAGGATTCTTGTAGAGTATCTACATCAGTCCTTGTGAAATAGATAGTGGACATCTAGACCTCAGAGTCACAGGGAGCAGGGCTGAAGTGATCACTGACGTGATGAGGCAGCAGAGCTCCTGACCAGCTGAGTTTTAGTTCATTTTACTTCTCAGAGATTGCTTCTTCTCCCTTATAAACAACGATGTTCTGGTCCGTTTCATACACTTTGACTTTGTAGAGAGTTCCCATGGGCAGGAGCTTCTTGAGGTTTTCCCAGATGAACACCGCCACGTTCTCCGTGGTGCTGAGAGCAGAACAGGAGCAGGCTCAGAACCGATGGCAGCGGCATTTATGGGGCTGCACCCAGCTGCAGGACCCAGCCCTGAAGACCATTCCTTGGCCCTCCCTGCAACCACCACTATGAGGAGACCCCGTCACTCACCTCACAACCTCGGCAAAGTAGGGCACGTCTTTATCCAGGTTTTTGTGGTCAAGCGGCTCCATGATAGCCTGCTGCAGGAAGAGAGCGGTGCCGTCAGCCATTATTTTGCTCATGATGCAGCAAACCAAAGGCTCCTGCTACCATGTACAAGGCACCAGCACATAAAGAAAGGGTTAGAGCCCTGCATCCAGCTGTTAACTTCTAGCTGGAGACATGGTACTGCCTCACATCACTGTGCTCCAGCATTTCAGCCTTAAATCACGCCTTAATTTCTTCTTTATTTCCTACCATTATCAACTCGTCGTGTTGCCACCCTGGCACCAGACAAATTGCTAAGCTCTAACCAATTCTCACAGGGGATGTCTAGGAAAATAGTGCTATTACCTGCATATATTCTTTTAGGTCTGTCAGGTTTATAACCATTCCCGAGACTGGGTCAATCTGCAGGGAAAACAAAAGGCAGATTAGTAGCCTAGCTACAGGTCCTTATTACCAGGGCTGCTGTGAGCCAGTACAAATCAGTGAATATCCGAGCCACAAGGAAAATCTCTCTTCACCCTCACATGCTGAGCTCCAGCTCTACCCTTGTGATGTTCCCAAAGGCTAGACACAACACATAAACAACTCCAATGGCTCCACTCCCTGACACTAGGGAGGGGAAAGGCTTGAAAGAGTCTCCAGTGCAAGAAGTTAGCATGGCCACGGGCAGACAACAGGCATTGAAGTGCTGGGTTGAACAGTCATGGACAAAGCAAAGACCAGTCTGAGCTAAGGCAAAGTTCCAGTCTGGAGAAGGCAAAGCAGGTTCTCTAGTTCACAGCAAATTTGGGGAATGTAGAAGGCTTTACGAATCTAGTTGCAGGCCTGAACAGAGCCTCCCCTCCTCTGGGTTCCTGACAATTGGAAATTCTCAGAAAGGAGTTTAGAAAATATTGAAACAACTCATTCTGCAAAATACACAGAACAATGACAGGATGAAAGCTGAAAAACAACTCCAGAAGGAAAAATTCTTTTATATTCACTGCAAACTACCCTGAGAAGTAGCAGAGAGAATTACCCATCGGACACACCGTGCCTCCCTGCGGCTCCATAGTCATCCAGGGGTGCCCCACAGCACCTGCACCAGCTGCAGCGAGGCTATGGCACAACAAACTATATGCCCAGAGGATGGTTACAAGCCTTAAACACGGTTACCTGCAAGTCCTTGTTAGAGGCAAGGTGATTGATAGTGACTTTGGGAAACCTTCTTCTACAGTGATATGTGCAGAGCTTCCACAAACACCCCAGGAAACCTAGCAATTAGCTGGAACTTCAGTACCACCCTGCTGCTCGAGGAACGGCAGAAAACGTTGATCACACTTACCTCTCCACGCACAGTGACTATAACTGGAGAAAAAAAGAAAAAAAAAAAAAAAAGAAAAAGGAATTGTCAGGTCATGTATGTGCCACCACAAACCTGAGAACAAATTGCACTGGTAATCAAGGCAGACCATCCATTCATCACCAATTCTCCAGGACTGATGCAGGCTTCACAACACTCAAAAGTGCAACTGGTTTTATAAAATTGTTATCCGCTGCTTTAGGAATAGGGACTCACAGAGGTCATGCTCCAAGGTCTGATGCCCAGGGACACCCCAGCATCCCTGAGGAGGGATGCATCCTCTCCTTGCAGGCCCCATGAAACTAGATGACATCCCAAGCACCTGCTCCCCATGACATCAGTAACGCCGGAGCTCTGGAGGACAGGTTTCAGGGCACCTATAGCACCCAGACAGAGCCCATCAGGCCTGTCAAGGGGGCAGATGTGATTTTACATGCATAGGGTATAGATGCTAGGAGAAGAACTTGTGAGGACAACTTTCAAATAATGTCTCTGGGCCGTTTAAATTGTGTGTACTTTGATTAGAAAAACCTTCATTCAAAACAAACAGTGATTTTGCAGATTCAATTTCATTCATTAGATGAATGGGAATTGAGATAAGTATTTATTACCTATTTATTTATTATTTATTTAACTTCATGGCTTGCACACCCCTGCCATTGTATAGCCATGCCCCCTTGCTGCTGAGGAATCACCATAATTTTGCTTGAAACAAGCAAACGACCACAACAAATGAGGCACTAAAAGCCACACCAGGCTGCTGGGACAGGACCGGCCCTGCCTGCCCAGGGGTTTGTGTGCGTTCACACCAGCCTCCCTCCGTACCCACAAGTGTGGAAGCCAGCTCCTTACCTTTATAGTTGTGCCCGTGGCCATTCGGATTATTGCATTTCCCAAACAGCTTCAGGTTTTCCTCGTCACTCAGTGCCTTACTGCGGGAAGCAGAGGCGGCATTTCAGCACTCACTGCAGATTTTCGTGGCTTTGCCCCCGTGACTGCTTTCCAGCTATTCCCTATAATTCTCTTGTGTCTAACCCATGGGCTCTGCCTCCCCAGCAGGCACACACACAACCGGAGGAGCGTTTGCCCCATGAAAAGGAGCCGCCAACGTTGGTTTTTGCTCGGTGTTTCTGTACACACGCTCCGTGCCAGGTGCCTGCTCCCAGGGCTGTTCGAGCACTGGCCCCGGGGACAGCACAAACCATTGGGGCTGCAGCAGGAAGCGGCAGCAGCGAAGTCCTACGCAGAATCAGCATTAACCAGCAAGCAAAATGCGCTGCTCCACGAGAAACGAGAGGGGAATAAACCCTCCCTTGGACCCAGCCGTCCCGAGCCCCCCGCGGGACCGAGCCCCCGCTAACCCCGGCCGGGCTCCGCAGCTCGGCGGCTCCCTCCTCCTCTTCCTCCCCTTCCTCCTCCTCCTCCTCCTCCTCTTCCTCCCCTTCCTCCTTCTCCTCTCCCCGCCGCGGACCTGTGCAGCCGGTGGCAGGCGCTGAAGGACACGGCCCGGGAGAGCCGCGCCAGGCGCGCTGCGGGCGGTGCCATGGGGCCGGGACCGGGGCCGGGACCGGGACAAGGACCGGGGCCGGCTCCATCCGGGCCCCCGGGGCTCGGCAGCGCCCCCGGCGGGAGCAGCGCGGCCCCGCAGCCGCACGGTGCCGGGCCCAGCCGGGCTCCGCGGGTGCCGGTGCCGGAGATGCTCGGGGGGCGCCGTGCGGTGCCGGCACGGGGGTGTAGGGGTGCTGCTGCCGTGCCCCCCGAGCGGCTGCAGCTTCTGCCTGGTTCAGGTGCTGCAGATCCCAGCCCAAGAGGCCCCCTGGGAAAGAACCCGGCTCGAGCAGCAGGGGGGATGCTTGCAGACCGGGACAGGACCAGGGGTTGTTGCAGAAGGTGACCCCAGCCCCCAGATTTGGGAGTCACGACTTTTGTTTTTCCTTTTTCAAGGCTGTCCATCCCGTAGGGGTAATGTCAGCAATGATTTGACCAGCAGTTTGGCTTGGGTTTGTTTTCTTTAACAATGACAGCTCCCCGAAGCGTTTTTATAAATGCACCAGTGCACAGGGGTGGGTCTGCCAGGGGAAAGCTGTCAGGCTCTCAATGTACTCAGGAGGTGTTCACAAAGCAATACCTGCCTGAAGGGGCTGGGGCAACTTCACAGATCTCATTCCCACCCCCCTAAAATAACTGCAGCACCATGGGACCTGAGGAGTGATTATTAAACTGTGAATTCCCCACCCCTTGCTCATCTGGTTGATTTGAGATGCTTTAGGTAAAGGAAGCACAGAGCAGTCCTTCCCTGCACCACTCTCAAGAAGAGCTGCCAGATTCTTATTCCCTTTCTAGCCTGGCAAACCAATTTGATTTCTGGGGTGATTATAAGCCTGCCAGACTTACAGGCACATGCTCCAGTAATGAGGTTCATGGGATCAAGTAGAGGAATCCATAAAGCGTGTGATTTTCTGAAAGCTTTGGGAGAGGGAGTGGGACTGGGAATCCTCAGTGTTGCAGGGCCTCGAATGGAGATAACCACAGCAGCTTATTGCCCCATTCTGGGACCCTCCTGGTGCCCGGGGGGTAATGGAGCACATATGGAGTGGGAAAACTCCAAGTCTCAGGGCAGGATCCTCAGTTCTGTGTTATAAACTGTGAAAGCACAGTTTGTGAGGTAGCAGGGTACGGCCTGTACACACAACGCAGGCAGGGGCTGGGAGTGTGTGCTGCTGCAGCTTTTGAAACAGAGCAGGGCCTTTGCACTGCAGGGCATCTTTCTTCCCCTGCCCTGTTGATCAGCAGCGCTGCCTTTAGTACTCTAGAAGGCTACAATCCTCACAGGGAACTTCTGACACTGCTTCTCCTTCCCATCTCCACAAGGAAAAAAAAAAAAAAAAAAAAAGATTAACAAAAAAATGAAATAAAAAGGGGGGGTGACAGAGCGCTGCCCACCACCACTAAGCGCTCTCCTAGCATCATTAGAAACTGGCTGGATAGCCGGGCCCAAAGAGTTGTGGTAAATGGAGCCAAGTCCAGTTGGAGGCCAGTCACTAGTGGCGTCCCCCAGGGCTCAGTGCTGGGGCCGGTCCTCTTTAACATCTTCATCAATGATCTGGATGACGGCACTGAGTGCACCCTCAGTAAGTTTGCAGATGACACCAAGTTAGGTGCGTGTGTCGATCTGCTCAAGGGTAGGAAGGCTCTGCAGGAGGATCTGGATAAGCTGCACCGATGGGCTGAGGTCAACTGTATGAAATTCAACAAGGCCAAGTGCCGGGTCCTGCACCTGGGGCGCAATAACCCCAAGCAGAACTACAGGCTGGGAGAGGAATGGTTGGAGAGCTGCCAGGCAGAGAAGGACCTGGGAGTGATGGTGGACAGTCAGCTGAATATGAGCCAGCAGTGTGCTCAGGTGGCCAAGAAGGCCAACGGCATCCTGGCTTGTATCAGAAACAGTGTGACCAGCAGGGCTAGGGAGGTGATCGTCCCCCTGTACTCGGCTCTGGTGAGGCCGCACCTCGAGTACTGTGTTCAGTTTTGGGCCCCTCGCTACAAGAAGGACATCGAGGTGCTTGAGCGGGTCCAAAGAAGGGCGACGAAGCTGGTGAGGGGCCTGGAGAGCAAGTCCTATGAGGAGCGGCTGAAGGAGCTGGGCTTGTTCAGCCTAGAGAAGAGGAGGCTCAGGGGTGACCTTATTGCTCTGTATAAATACATTAAGGGAGGCTGTAGAGAGGTGGGGGTTGGCCTGTTCTCCCATGTGCCTGGTGACAGGACGAGGGGGAATGGGCTAAAGTTACGCCAGGGGATTTTTAGGTTGGATGTTAGGAAGAATTTCTTTACTGAAAGGGTTGTTAGGCACTGGAACGGGCTGCCCAGGGAGGTGGTGGAGTCACCATCCTTGGAAGTCTTCAAAAGACGTTTAGATGTAGAGCTTAGGGATATGGTTTAGTGGGGACTGTTAGTGTTAGGTTAGAGGTTGGACTCGATGATCTTGAGGTCTCTTCCAACCTAGAAATTCTGTGAAATTCTGTGAAATTCAGCTGCCAGCCGTGGGGATGCGACGTCGCTGGGGCTTGTCTCCTGGGGTGGACAGGCGACAGACGGGCGATGCTCCTGCGGCAGGGCTGGCAGCAGCAGGAGCCCCAGCAGCGGGGGCTGGCTGCCATCTGGTGGCCGTGGGAGAGCGGCTCTGCCCTGCAGCCCCCCTGTGCGAGCCGCCTGCCTCTCCCTTGCCTTCGCCCACGACCTGAAAAGAAGGTGAAAAAGGTCCGAGGGGAAATAAAGCTGGGTCATTTGGGTGGAGCGCATCAGCCCTGACTTGGTCGTGTTCTCTTTGGGCTGGCTTCCAAAACAACAGGAGTCAAAGCAGAGCAAACTTTTAAATAGGAAGCCAGAGTTTTCCTTTGAGCTCTGTGGCACGAGTAAAGTTCCCTCTTTCCTCAAGAAATGGGCTCAAAACATGGCCCAGCCTTCTTGCAGTGAAGCAATATAAAAAGTCCTCAAGCCAGGAAGAAAATCCCTTGTCCAGAAAACGTTCATTTTTCAGAGTCCTTAGAGGAAGAGCCTTCAAGTAAACTACTTGGGTGCCAGTGGGTGGGGATGCATGTTGAGGGATGCCCTCCCATCAGCTAACCTCACAGGCAACTGTCCAGGAACTGTAGGAGCCTGGATGAGGAAAGAAGTGTAAGGGAGGGTGTTGGCATTTGATCTGCACAACTCCAGAAAAAAAGGGCTATCAAGGCCACAAGGAACTACTACGTGTTTCATACCAGTTGCTTAAGAAGAAGGCAGGAAATGTTAGCCATCAGAGCTGCTTCCAGCTCTGCTGTTTTAGCAGGAGTATGATGGAGATCTCACATATCTTCGAGATGATATAGCATCACAGGGTGGGTCACAGTTGCTGCTGCTGCCTCCTGTGGCACAGCACAAAGTTGGCCGTAGTTCTAGTGAGTGCAGCAAAAGAAAGGAAGAAACTTCACAAGCTTTTATTTGAGGGCACAGTTAACGTATGGAGAAAAGCACTACAAGTACAGCTTCTGTGAGCATGTGTCTATTCTCTGGGGCTTCACTGAAGGCAATCTTTATGCAGTGGGGCCAAAATTACATCCTGTCAACAGGCCTACATGTTACCGGTTAGTTTTACTCCTCTCTTCTGCTTTAATTTCAGCCAAAGCCACTGCCCTAAGCACAGATTCTTGCTACCCAGAGAAGGTAATGATCATCTTAGTTTTCATTTTCTCCCTTGCGACCCTTAGGCATGGCAGCCTCTGTGAACTGCTGCTAACACTTCTAGCAAGATAGTCGGAAAATTAAGATAAAGCAGTGAGCTGGTAGAGCAATGGAGCTTCTGCCTTCTCTTTTCTGTGAACTGTTAGGAAAGCAACAGTAACTCAGAAGATACGATTGAGAAGAAACAGTTCTCTTCATCCTTGGCATAATGTAGTGTTGGGAGATAAAAGAAAATAGAGGTTTCTTTCTAAGCCTGACCTCACCCTGAGTTACAGGAAGTGGCAAGGTCAGTGGGACCTAAAGATGCCATGGAATCCATAAGGCATTTCCACTGGGACTTCTGCTCGCCCCAGTTCTTTGAAGGTTTCTGCATCCAGAACAAGGAGGAAAGCACTTCGGTTCTGCAGGATGAAAAGAAAACCAGAATGAATGACCAAGCTGAGCTTCATCCCACAGTCCAATGCACTACATCTGTCAAACACAAAGGAGCCCAAACATACAACCAGGCACAACCAGACCTCACCAACTAAACCCCTCAGACAGTTAGCCAGGATCACCAAGAATCACAGAGGTCACCCAAGAAACATTGATGTTCCTACTTGAAGTTTATCTAGCTGTGCTTGACAGTTGCAGAAGTATACACCATGTAGCACAGTGCTAGAACTATCTGCCAGGGAGCCTTATATCATTTGTGTGTGTGTGTGTGTGTGGTTTAGAAAACATACCTAATACGATGTGGCTTTGATGAACTAGTAGGAGTAAGTTACCTCATCGGGGGAGATCACAACAGACAGGATGACTCCATTGTCTTCTGCAGTGGCATTAGGCACTGGCACAAACACAGGCTCTGATGGGTAGGATCCTTCCTCCTGCCAAATCTAGCAAGTGCAGTAACATAGGGACATGTTTCATTTCATTAAAATTTGTCTACTACAGTTAGCAGAGTTACAAGTTACAGTGCTCCCCACAGAGTTACCCAGGCATACTCCATGCCCCAAGGAACCTACAGTTTAACCTTTCAAGTCATTCTTTTGGTTCCACTACTATAACGATGGCAGCGTTGTGACAGCATATCCATTGTGCAAGGCACTGTGCAAACAGGCAGTGAAAAGGGTTCCCGTTGCTCGTTTCATCCAACAGCTCGCACTGGCACGGGTACAGGCTCAGAAAACCTCACCATCCTAGCTGGCACAGCCAGCTTCTCACCTCCCTAGTATAGCTCACACTGGGCCCAGGCAGCATGGAGATCTATCAGTATCACCACCTGATGGCATAGCTTCTGCTCTTATTGCAGACAGAGCCACAGCACCCAGTGCTGGGTGGAAGAAGGGCACTCTTACTGCAAAATGAGTATCCAGAGCAGAACGATTAAAAATAGGGCATCT